AAAATAACGATTTTTCTTTAATTACAAAAAACAACAACAAAACAATAACACCAATTTTTTGTAAATTATTTTTCTTCTCTTTTAAATTTCTTCTCTTTTAAATTTCTTCTCTTTTAATTTTCTTCTCTTTTTATAGGTATTGATTTACCAGTCCATTGAAAATCTTGAAAAATTAAAATCGAGAATGGGGGTTCCCTTAATAATAAAAAATTGTTATCTAGGGAGGTTTGTGAAAATCGACTACTACATTTTTTTTTGCAAATAGAGAGCAGGACTTCTATGAGAGAGGCATTAGGAAGTTACCTTTAAAATGGCAACAAAACGATGCATATTTGGACCAAAACGGACATTCCGAAGCATGTTAAATAAATTTATATAGTTCATATAAATATAATGGATTTCTTTTTCCCCAACCTAATATTTAGCCTGCCTCTGTAAAATTCGAAACGAAAGAATTCGATCGACTTACGACCAAACTCCTTGGTTTTAGTTTCCGTAAGGATGATCCGGGTATACATACTTTTTTCAATTGCTTTTTCTATAGATCATCCTATTTTTGTTTAGTATGAATCGATTAACACTTTTTCCTGTGGGAAAATGTAAAGTTTATATGGACAAACCGACATCGATTCACTGATGCGATAGATTAGAGGCGACCGGAATGTGAAAGTCATAATCTAAAAACAAAAGGAAATAACAAGCGTTAAGTTCGGCCAGGCCGAACTTTAGATATCCTCTACCAGAAGTATACTGACATTTACTTGAAATTGATGTTCTAATGTTTTTAATGTTCCAAGTATGGTTAAAACTTCCCAGTTTTTTATTTCGATATCCTCCGAATGTAGAATGATTAAAACATATGGCTAAATCGTCTAATGGTAAAATACGCCTATATGAGGGCAACCCTAACACGTGAAACCAACAATTTGGGGCGAATATTAATATTTTTTGGAAGTTAGATAGGAATACAAAATACCGAATTACAACGAATACTGTTGAAAAGCGCGGTCTTAATCCTTAATATTCCATAAATTTGGAGGTACCGTTATATGGGACCTACGAAAAAGTCGACCAATATTTATATTTTTTTGCATGAATATTTGGTTTCCAATTAGAACAAAAGATACAAACTTACAAAACAAGCTGAAACTCCCCAAAATATGTCAATTTTGGTGGCTACACGAAAAAGTGGACCGATATTGATAGTTATTAGTGTGGAGATTTGGTACCCTATAAGAACACAAATTGTTGAATTACAGCGAATTCGGCAGAAAAACGCGCTCAAAATCTTAAAATACTAAATATTTGGGGTAAATTTATGTGGGGACATGCCTAACAATGGACCGATATAACCCATTATTGGACTTGGTCCGCCTACGTAATTTTTGGGAGACGAATAAAACTTGTTTTTTAATTTTTTTTTACAAAATTGTAAAGTTTTGTGGGCGAGGTACCAGATGGATGTGTATACAGATCACAATTTTGGCCATTTTGTGTGGGAGATACCAGAAGGAGCGGACCAATATTTCCCACCATCGAACTTGAACTAAGTTTGGAAGAAATATTAAGATGCGCAAATTTCGGATGAAATCGGTTACTCTCTTCGAGAATTGTAGTGCACACCAGTCGGCCAGACAGACGGACAACGGACGGACATTTGTAAATCAACTTAAAATTGTCTGAAACGGATTTAGACCAAAGAAACATTTCGATGAAACACATTTTTGTCGTAGAAAACTGTATATACCCTCATTTGCCATAAGACTGAGAGTATAAAACACAAATTTCTACTTTGTTTCATTCTAATGAGTTCCACGTTCTCAATTCTTCATAACTACATTTTTTAACATAGTTTTCTTTTTAAATCATAAATTAACACATTTTTTAGTTTTGCCATAACCCGCAAATACATCATTTAATGCTATAAAAATTTTTCGAAACAATCGCAAACATTTTCATTTAATTTACACTATAGGAGTAATAAATCTTGTGACGGGACTGACGAACACTAAATATTTTCATATGTATGTCATAGTTTTGAAACTAGGTGAACTACTTTCAAGGTCAAATTTTAATAATTCGCATGTATATAAACTTTTATAAATTACAATCATAAAATCATATATTTCTTAATTACAAAGGAAAATATGAAATAGATAAAATTTATACGATTAAGTTCCGCAAATTTCGCAAATGTTTCTGTACCCGTCTTAATCTTTTCCAAATGAAAAAATTCTTATGGATTTTTATACTGGTAACTTAAAATTCTATCAAGAGAAAACTGTATATGTTTGTTTGCGGCTATTGCAGGTTATTTTTATAAAAAAAATCCTCACTCTATCTCGAAACGTTGTACATCTTTTTAGTTATTATTTTCTTGAACCATAAACTAAATACCCAACGACGAGTTTAACTCCGAAATTTCGATATGTTGAAAATTTTTTATAGTTATGTTTCTTTAGTCGGTATTTGGCAACACTTGTCACCAAATGTTACTGGATGTTGTCTGTCCGGTGAAAGAGAGCAAAATGAGACAGAGCTAGTTTAACAGTTCTATACCAATAAATTACTGTTGATGTCAAAATAGCAATTAACCGGCTGAAGAACAATAAAGCAGCAGCTGCCTATAGTTTACCAACCGAACTATTCAGGACAGATGGTCAGATTCTGATTAGGAACATGCATCAATTGATTATTTCAATTTTGCTAGAGGAATGCATGTCCAATGATTGGAACATCAGCATCCTATACGGCTATGCAGGATAACTTTAACTGGTAGAAGGTCAGCAGTTAAAGTCGGAAAGGACAGTTTGACGTGTGACCTTTTTAACATGCTGCTGGAAAAGGTCGGTTAAATACTAGTTTCTTACTGACGGGGTATGGTTCTCTCAATGCGTTTTTTGCATAAAAGATACCTGTCCCAGACGGATTTATGTGTGTGCTGCTGTTACTATAAATACATTAGAGATTTAGCAAATATGGGTATATCGAATGGAGGGGCATTGTGGGATTTTAGTATGGTACTTGTTTAGGAGAAGGAGGTTTTCCGTACCGCGGGTGTCAGGTGCCCCTTAATCTGTCGATCCAGCCTGACAGTTGGTGTGGCCCCCTGGGGTCCAAGGGGGAAGGTGTGTTTTTGCATGCTCTTCAATTGGAACAGCACTACGGTAATAACACGCTGGCGGGCGTTATTACGCCTGTGTCTCAGCCACTGTGAGGTTGGCCAGATGGCAGGAACTCACATAAAACACTCAGGTATTGGACAATGTTATACGAGATGCAAAGGTGTACAGAAATGGCACTTTGTACACCAAACAGTACATGTTACTCGCCTATGCCGATGACAATGACGTAATGTGTCGAACATTGCGGACAGTAATTACCACCCTTGAACGAATTGAGAAGGAGTCTGCCAAAGTGGGATTGGCGAGAAGCTTATTGTATGCACTGTTTTCCGAGTCTACTAGATGTCAGTAGACTCGGACCAACTGTGGAACTTTAAAACTACAGCTTTGACGAAGTCAAGGATTGTATATATCTTGGTACCGCCATAAATAAAACTAAAGACATCAGTTTCGGAGAAAGATACTAATAACCAACAGGTGCTAATATTATCTAATTAGGCAATTCAGAGTCAATACCACCTCTCGCTAGACTAAACTCACATTGTAGAAGGCGCTGGTGTATGGATCTGAAGCATGTGTAGTTGCGCAAGAAGATGCGACAGCTCATAAAGTAGTTGAGTAAGATCTACCTGACGATCTGCGTCAACTGAACCATTAGTTGTATCATCTATTATCGGACATCGATAAAGTCAGACGTATCGAGCTGCAGCGACTACGGCGGCTAGGACATGTTGTGAAAATAGATGAGGATGCCCCAGCACAAGGGGCATATAAAAGCAAGCTAACTGATGGTTCACGCAGAAGTTGAAGGTAACTAATTCGATGGAAAGATCAAGTGGGTAGATAACATTTCGAAACATGGTCTTTCAAATTGGAAAAACTGCGCAGAAGACCGACACGGCGTATGGAATACATGTTCTGTCCCGAGCCAGCTAAGTAAATATTTTTAAGTTTATTTGTAATGTCTACCAAGAATTCTATATAATCAAAACAAAATAATTCATTCTTGTGCGTTTCTACCTCAATTGTCCACGTGATTCATAGTTTTAGCCTGAAAAGAACTAAATATTCTGTTATGCCAAGTTAATGGAAAAATCCCCACGAAACAAGGACGACTCGTTAGTTATGGATTCAAATTCATTCGCCTGGCTGGGCATCTGGTTCTTCTCTTTCTCTCTCACTTTCGTGGAAAATACTTTGTCTGTGGGATTTTCTAAAATTTAAATTTGCATTCAGTTTGGGACTGACGTCGGACATCATCCCCACCTTATGCCGTTGGTATTTGTTTATTTGGTCAAATACAATAGCAGCAGATGTTGGTGCTGCTGGCATCGTCGCATTTGTTGATCGACGTAACTGCAAATCATACTCTCGTTTCGTTGGAAAATAAAAGTTGACAGCAACCGCAGCCGAGTGATGCCGGCAATTATTTTAGTTGTTGATGCTAACCATAACGACGACTTGTTATCTGTTTTTTGTTTTGTTTTACTCCCAGCTGTCTGTCGACTATCGTCGGTGTTTTTCTCTGCCTCAATTGTGAGCAAATGATCTTCTTGCAGCCAGACGAACGAACGAACTCAGTTCGCAAGTTGATCAGTTATCTGAAGTAACATTCGCGTTATTGACTCGCAAAAGACAAGATCACATAAAAAGAAAAAGCGGATAAATTAATGGAAATTTGTGATATTAAAAATATTTTAACAATATACAAAAATAACAATTGAAATAATATAATCGCTGACAATCGTTTTATATAAAACAAATAATTACTTTTTTATGAAACAAAAAAATAATTTCAGTGTTTTAATATAAAATAATAAAAAACAAAACGAAATTTGAATAAGTGTCGCCCCCACCATAAAAACATCGAAAACCATGCGTTCGGATCAACCAGCTCAACGTAATAACAGTTCGGGTTCCGAAGTGTCCTTGGAAATACCGCCGAATGCCATTTACAATACCTCACGTGATTGCATCGTTCAAGACGATGATAGCTCGGATAAACGTGGTGCCTGCACAATGACCAGCGAATGGTTGAAACAAACATCGGCGAACATTTTTCGCAAGAAAACACTATACAAACGTTTGCCGATTTTAACCTGGCTACCCAAATATAATCGTGATGATTTTGTTGGTGATCTTATGGCTGGCATCACCGTCGGTCTGACGGTTATACCACAGGGTTTGGCTTATGCTGGTATAGCTGGCTTGGATTTGCAGGTGAGTGGAAGGATGTTAAAAATGTGTGGCTTAATTGGAGGCATATCAAAACATAAATGAATCGTTCATTTCATATAGCGACCACAATTTATACGAAATAAAAACAGCCCCAATAAATTGTTGCAAAATGTTAAATTCCATATGGAATTATAAATAGAAAATGCTCTTAAAGCCTCTTAGAAACTTAGTGATTGCAAATTATAAACTGCTATTTTTAACTATTTTTATTATTCTTTGCAATTTTTGTGTGCGGAAATCTTTTAGACTAGGGGATCTTTTAGGAAGGAGTAAATTTTTTTATTAAAAATATTGCCATGAAAGGATATTGAAAAATAGGATTTTTCATAAGAATAATATATTTTCAGAAAGTTAAAAGACTAAAGATCTTGTTAAAAACGAAAGTGCTTTTCCTGTGGTATTTACCTATATCACTACACCTTAATTTTATTTTTCGGTGATTTTTTTTCGAAATGCCACAAGCCAATTTTTACCCTCCAAATATTCTACAAACATTTAGCTAATAAGATTTTAGTCCTTTTCCACATTCACTCGATCCTTACTTGAAAACCTTATATCTATGAGTACCAATAAATTTAGAATAAATTTTTGATTATATAAAACTCTCGGATTCGTCTGAAATATTTACCATAAAAATATTTCATTATCATAAACACATTATTAGAATTTATTCACGGGAGACAGATCCGAATTGCTAATTTTTTTAACAGGATTTTCAAATAATAAACCAGATTTTTGTACCGGTTTTAATACACCGATTAAACTTATATGTATACTATTTGAAATATAGTAATGTTGTTAATCACGCGGAATAGTCTGATCAAAAGTTATCTAAAAATCTGTTGAAAATATAACTATTGTTCCAGTCGATTTTCAAAAAAACAGTCAATATTCACAAAAAATCACGAAAATGTGTCTAATAAGAAAAAGAAAATCGGTAACAGACCTTTTCCAAAGTTGCTGAAAGTTCTGAACAACACTGATGGTCATTGAAAAACTAATCTAAACTTCAAAGTTCTATTTTAAAAATTTTGAGATTTAAAGTGATACTGCCGAATATTTCGAGATATTAAAAACGTGGATGTGTTGTCCATAATGGATCTGGAATTTTCTGTCGGTTTTTAGTAATATAATATTTTACTCAAACCTAAATTATGTTCGAAGTTGGGAAATATCGGTTCAATTCTTCGGGCACCTTCCCCACAAAGTGGCCAATATTTGAAGAATGCGATATGAATGGAGAATCCGTTATGAACCAAACTTGAACCACCTAATATTTTAAACAAGACTTAAAGCGGATTTACATAAAACATTTTATCATGATTAAAGGCCGAAGCAGGGCTATATTTATCATGATTTACCATATAAATTTAAAGATGGACCACTCCTTCTGATGTCTCTAGCACAGAGTATCAAAATTTGTAAATAAAAAATCAAGCGGATGGATTTTCCGACTTGATCCATACTGCACATATCTTTATCGGTTCACCCCTCCTTGTACCCCCCACACAAATTGACAAAATGTTGAACATTTATAATTTCTATATCCAGCAAATAGAACTACCGTTTCCACGACAGAGGGGTCTACGATCCGAAACGACCCGAGTTATACTCGGCCAACGTCTGTCACCTCAGCCCATTGTGTAGAAGCAATAGGGCTGCTACAACAACAACCGATTTGACTCTTACTTTGCACATTGAAATATTATGTTGGGGAAAAAGAAATCCATTATTTTTTCGGCAGATGGCTGTACTGATAGATTTATCGTAAAGTATCGACCAAAATGTCGATAAAATCGAAAAAATGATCGAGAAATGTCTTTAAAATGGCAACAAAACTACAACAAAATATATAGCCCAAATCGGACATTCCGGACATATCCACCATAAGGTGGATATTCAAAATAAATGTACACATTTTGAATCTTTATAGTATATGGTAAGCTTTGTCATAACACATTTTTAGTACGAAGATTTGTTACCCACGGATAACTAAATTAGAGATTATTCTACTATTCGTAGAAAGTGGCCCAAAATTTAAAATTTTTGTAAGCTATCCTTAGTGAATTCAAAATACGAAATTATAGACAAATTTGTTGAAAAACATGAAAAAAAATCTTCCCAAACTCCATAAAATACAAACAATTTTGGAGGTACCATTATTTGGGGGATATCCAATTAATAATTTTCGGTACAAAGTTTTTTTTACCAAAGGACCATCGAATATACTTAATTATAGTCAATTTGATAGAAAAACATGCCAAACTCTCTAAAAACGTGCCAAAAATATTCTACCCTTGTTTCCATGTGTGTCACACTTTCCTGCATTATTGAATTAGAATTTCTTTTTTTCAAAGTAAGTTAGAAACCGCCTTGATAAATGTTTACCTAATTAGTGAAAACAAGCATCAAACTTGGTTTTTAATAAATAATTGCAATGCTGAAAATGTAGTAGTAGAAAATGTAGCTCTGATTGTAAAAGTGCGACTTTAACATTTTTTAGCACAATAGTCGAACGTTTTTGCAAAATAGTCGAACACTATGTTTTTCTCGAATATAAAGAAGTTATGTGGTTTTCTTGTTTTCTTTAACAAAAATATACGTTTAGCTTTAATTACAATCGTTGATTTTTAAATTTTTATTAATTTTTTTAAATATTTTCAAATAAAAATATTCTATGTCGGGTAATGTGGACCACTATAAAAAGTGGGACCTTCTCATGAGGACGAGTTCGAAACATAGGCGCATTTAATGTGCGAGGAGGTATTCTATCCTCTGAAAACTCGATATGCGAAATTACAGGTGCTTCGGTTGGATAATGAAGCAAGGGCCATAAAATATCGCAAATGGGTGCTATTCCAAGACATGAACCAATACATTTTTGCATTAATTGTTACCCAAGAGTGCAATAAATTGAAATTTATCACAAACAATCCACAACCTACCTTTAACTTGCTGATCCTCATTACCCACACATACTATTCCACATTACCCGCCGCGTTATTTTTATTTGCAGTTTAAAGTTTTTTGAAATATAATGCAATAACATTTTTATAGACAAATTTATATAATGTTTGGCCTGGAATACATTTAGCCAACAAATCTACTATGTTGTGAAAACATTTTTTTTATTTTTACCGTTGTTACGCCCGCCCACAATATCAAAAAAAGAAAATGGTGGTCCACATTACCCGAAGTTACTCTAATTTGCAAAATTTGTTTTTTTAGAGATTAAAGAAAAGTCCTTACTTTTGATGGCGGGCATGTTAACTCCCCGGGTGTTAGATAGAGTACATGTCTGGCTCCCATAATAACTAGGATTATTGACTTCTCTCAAAAATTAACAAAATGGCGGACATTTGACCATTTTTTAATTAGCATATTTTTGACCACCAACTAAGTTAATACGATAGTTCATACGATAGAGAAACGTGTCAAAACTTGGAACCGATTGGATTATTAGTTATTAGTTTTTGAGTTATCGTGCCCGCCATTCGTAAAAACACTGTTCCGTCTGTTAAATACCACTTCGCAGATATACTACCCTAACCCATAATGGTTCGTATTCCATGTTAAAATATATTTGTCTTTATGAATCCAATTGAAAATGCCGTTAAGAAATTAACTCCAAATAACTGAAGGAACAATTAGTGAAATATGGATTTCGATCACACCAAATGACTGCCAATATTAATAAATTCGATTAATAGTAGAATAAATAAATTACTTAATGGAGAATGTGATGTGAATGCTTAATTGTGTTTATTAATCTCGTACGAACCTTTTATGGTAAAAAAAATAAAAACAATTATTATTAAGTATCTCAATTCTTTTTCTTTTTATTATTTTTTTAAATAATCGATATTATACATTTTTTTTAAAATAACAAAATCATCTTTCAAATAAATGTAGTTTTGTTAAATTTGGAACAATTTTTGTGGGAGTTAGATTTAGAAATTTTAATACTTTAATATGGGTTACGAACCCAAATTTAATTTTACATAATTTTAGATAAACAAAATTTGTTAGGACGAAGATGGCTCCTTTTTTTTAAATTTTACAAAGTAGCCATCGACATAAGTACCAAAGATCTCATCATCAAGTCGTGTGAACCTTTTTTCCTATAAATGTATTCCTTGCTTTAATATTTTAAGTTATCTATATTCTTGTAATAGTCAAGATGTAACCTAAAAAATAATTTATCTAAAATTCATACTTGTCTAATATTTTTTACCCAAAATGATTCACAACACATAACCTTGATAGTTGTGCGGAAAATTTTTTAGCCGCTGTTTTATCTCAGTATCTCGTGTGTGAACTTATCTACCAGTGTTTTCAATCATAAACTTGTCATTGCCTGTCTAAAAGTTCTATTTGTGTTATACAAGAAAAATATTATCTTACAATTAAGTACTACATGTACTATGTACTTGATTTTTTGACAACATCATTTTTTCATTTCGCCCAAATTAAATTAAAAAACAATCAACAAACACTTATGTTATACAAATTTTATAATACAAGGGTACACTGAAATTATGAAAATTTGCTGAATAACCTTTATTTGTTTGAAATGAATCAGTTATAATGAGATTTTAATCATTAGGCTTTATGAGTCATTCAGGGCGATTAGAATTTAATTTTGGGAAAATTTTACATTTTCTTAATGATTTTATTAAAAAAATCCAAATAATCATATTATATAGAAAATTTAATAATAGTAGCTTCCAAATTATCCGCTCATAACTCTTTTACATAATTTTTTATTATTTATGGTCGTATATTAATAGGAATATTAATCTATTTCCTTTTATTTCCAGTATGGTTTATATGGCTGTTTCATGGGTTGTTTCCTTTACATTCTCCTGGGTTCAAGGTAAGAATTATTAAAACCGTCATTAAAAATTAAAAAAAATCTAATTACTTTCACCTTTTCTCCTACAGCAAAGACGTTCCAGTGGGTCCCACAGCCATATCGGCGCTCTTAACATTCCAAACGGCTCATGGTGTCTGGCAAAAAGCAGTTTTACTTACATTTCTAACAGGCCTAATAGAAATTGCAATGGGCATATTTCGGCTGGGCTTCCTAATCGATTTTGTTTCGGGTCCAGTTAGTGCGGGTTTTACAAGTGCCGGTTCCTTGATCATTTTCACATCCCAACTCAAGGATCTACTAGGTGTCAATACCAAAGGTGACACATTTGTTGATATGTGGATATCGGTATTTAGTGATTTACACAACATCAGTTGGAATGATGCTGGTTTGGGTGTTGCCTGTATTATTGTCCTGCTGTCAATGCGTGCCATGGCCAGTATGAGTTTTGGTCCCAAAGATAACAATGAAAAATCTTTCTGTCAGAAATTTTGGTCTGGTCTCTTTTGGGTTGTTGGCACATCGAGGAATGCTGTTCTCATCATTGTTACCTCTTCAATTGGTTATTATTTGTTGAGTTCCGGTATTGATATATTCCGTATGGTTGGTTATGTGCCGCAGGGTTTGCCTAAATTCAGTGTACCCCCCTTTTCAATGACCACAGTGACAAATAGCACCAACGGTGAACCAATTGAGATTCATGAAAGTTTTGGTCAAATGGTTAGCAGTTTGGGTTCCGGGTTGATTGTTGTGCCTCTGATTTCGTTACTGGAAAATATGGCTGTCGTACAGGCTTTTGGTAAGTTTTCAATTAAATTATATGTTTTTCATTATTTTAATTGTTATTTTTTAATTTGTTTCAGCTAATGGCAAACCCTGTGATGCCACCCAAGAACTAATTGCTGTTGGCGTATGCAATGTCGCGAATTCCTTTGCCCAAGGTTTCCGTGGTAATGGTGGTATTGCTCGTGGTGCTGTCTTAAATTCCAGTGGTGTCCGTACCCAAATGTCCAACATCTATACGGGTCTTATTGTCATCGTGGCATTGTTGTATTTGACTCCTGCTTTCTATTATATTCCAAAGGCAGCCTTGGCCGCTGTCATCATGGCTGCTGTTATTTTCATGATTCAATATCGTGTCGTCAAACCCATGTGGAGAAGCAAGAGTAAGTTATTTGTTATAATACATTATAGACTACTTGGGAAGGGTTTAATATGTCATAGTCTTATATCCGGTCTCATCTTCTATTTGTTCGAATTGTTCGACTTTCAAATGTTGGGACCATAGATTCATAAGAATGAAACCATGGCATGCCGTTAGAAATTTGATTGGAAATTCATCGATTGGAAGTCCATATCTTCTAAAATGCCATCTTCAATTTTTACGATGTACAAACAATAGGAGTTGGGTGCACAATTTACATAAAATCGGAAGCAAATATATATGGGAGCTATATCTAAATCTGAACCGATTTTCACGAAACCTAGCACACATCATTCTAGACTTAATTCAGAACGCTATGCCAAATTGCGTGCAAATCGAAAGAAATGTAGGTGCTTTGGTGCTCCATTAACATAAAATCGGATGAAAATATATATGGGACCTCTATCTAAATCTGAACCGATTTTCACGAAACTTAACACACATCATTCTAGACTTAATTCAATGCGCTATGTCAAATTTCGTGCAAATCAAAACGTATGTAGGGGCTTCGGTGCTCCGTTAACATAAAATCGGACGAAATTACATATGGGAGCTATATCTAAATCTGAACCGATTTTCATGAAACTTAACACACATCATTCTAGACTTAATTCAGTACGCTATGCCAAATTCCGTGCAAATCGAAAGAAATCTGGGGGCTGGGAACATAAAATCGGACGAAAATATATATATGGGAGCTACATCTAAAACTGAACCGATTTTCACGAAACTTAACACACATCACTCTAGACTTAATTCATTGCGATATGCCACATTTCGTGCAAATCGAAAGAAATGTAGGGGCTTTGGTGCTCCATTAACATAAAATCGGACGAAATATATATGGGAGCTATATCTAAATATGAACCGATTTTCACGAAACTTAGCACACATCATTGTAGACTTAATTCAGTACGCTGTGCCAAATTTCGTGCAAATCGAAAGAAATGTAGGGGCTTTGGTGCTCCATTAACATCAAATCCAACGAAAACATATATGGGAGCTATATCTAAATCTGAACCGATTTTCCCGAAACTTAGCACACATCATTCTAGACTTATTTCAGTACGCTATGATTAATCGATTTAATTTTGTTGGAGACTTAAACTTACCCATTAATATCATTAATAAAAATAAATGTTTCCCTTATTTCAGAATCTGACCTTATCCCCGGCTTGGCTACCTTTGTTGCTTGTTTGGTATTGCCCCTGCAATTGGGTATTCTTGTTGGTATTGGTATTAATATTGTATTCATTTTATATCATGCTGCTCGTCCCAAATTGCATGTGCAAACTTTATGCGTAAGTATTTCAAAAAACAAGAAACTAATTCGAATTCCTATTAATTATTTCCCCCATCTCTTTACAGACCTCCAATGACATTAAATACCTAATGCTTACACCCGATCGTTGTTTGATATTCCCCTCTGTGGAATTTGTACGCAATGTTATTACCAAACAAGGACGTAAATCTACCCTACCCGTGGTCATCGATTGCACACACATTTATGGTGCTGATTTTACAGCAGCTAAGGTAGTCTCATCAATGATTGATGATTTTGAAAATCGTCAGCAGAAGTTGTACTTCTTTAATTTACAACAACGTGTTGCACAAGTATTCGAGGGTATTAATAATAATCTACAAGTTATTTACGATTTGAATACATTGGAAATGAAGTTGTCCGGAAAAGATGAACAAAATACATCGAAACTGTGAAATTCGAAACCAAATAGTTATAGTTATAAGGCAAGTTAAGTTAAAATTAGTATTTAAATTTGAAAAAATACGCCCATTATATATTTATACGAACGATTACAATATAGTTATAGAAATCCTTTATCATGCAAATGAGTTAATTTCCATATACCCGAAAACTAATATATCTCAAAAGGAAATTAAAGTAGAATCTAATAATCTCTCACAGATACTCTTGGTGATTTAAGGATTACTAATCCATATTTGGCATTGGATAAAAAATGCTTGAGATATAATCTCCTAATATTTGAAATTTGTTAACAAGTGCCAACAATTATTGTATTTATGCAACAATTATTATTTTTATTTTGTTGTTAGTACTACACAAGTATTTTAGTATTTATTTTTATTAAGTATTACTCTTCCTAATACGTTGTAAACAAGATGTTGTATACATACGAACACACACCTGTATTTAACACATTCCTTAAGTACTTAAATATGTATTTTAATATAATAATTAGTACATACTTACATAGTTTTGTATGTGATACTAAAATAATTATCTGTAATTAGTGGTTTTTGTTGGTAGAGTCAAATTATTTACTTTGTATTTTTTTGTTTTGATTTTTTGACAATAATTACTCTTGTATTGTATCATTTTTGTATTATTGTAGTAAAATGAGTATTATTTTCTATATTTGTTGTTGTATAGTTTTATATACATTCCCGAAAATTGATATTTTTTGTATTTAAGTTTAAGTAGAAATAAAAGTAGCAATCATGAATTTTTTGGTGTTTTGTTTTTATGGTAGTTTATTTGTAGATGTCGAATGTAGGTATTGTGGTAGTAAACTTATAAAAGATACATGTAGCTGTTCAGTTGACAATATGAATTATTTTCAATCAGTAAGAAGGAGAAATCTCCACCACATTGAAATTTATAAGTGTTTTATCGAAAAGTATACAGAAATGTAAATTTCTGCGGAAAAAATGCATTATCGTTGTCAAGGCAATGATCATCATTAAACTATATGGATATACAAATATCTAAGTGTTTCCAATAAGAATAGTTTTTGTAGGAATACTAGGAATACCGCGAAATATTGATTTTAGTTCCCATGTTTCTTTGGGCCAAACCCGTTTCAGACAATTTGGAATCGATTTGCCAATGTCCGCCCTGTCTGGCTGGTGCGCACGATATCTCTCGAAGGGATTAACCGATTTCATCCAAACTTTGCACATCGTAATATTTTCCAAACAAAGTTTATGTTCAAAGGTGGGGCATATCGGTCCGTTCCTTCTGATAAGTTCTTCACAAAATGGACAATATTTAGCTAAATTTTAAATTGTAAAATATTATGCGAACGGACTATCCGATTTGAAACCAACTTTGCACAATCTATTATCTTCACCAAATCCGAAAATGGACCCATTGGTCCACTCCTTCTAGTACCTCCCTCACAAATGGCCAAACTGTTTATAAATCCAATATTAGGCTAATGTAATGTCAGCTTTGATCCAAACTCAAGTAAATTCGAAAATAGGCTGAAAATGTATTTTATATCATGCGAACAGTGGATCCGATTGAAACCAAAGCTTTGCACATCATAGTATTTTAATTATGCCTGTATATTGTCGACTAGGTAATATTTTTACCTTGCCTTAATTTTATAATATTATGCGAACGTACTATCCGATTTGAGCTAAATGTTGCACAACCTAATATTTTAACCATGCCTGTATAATGTAGGAAGATGGGACTTATCGGTCTACAACTTCTAGTACTTTCCCCAAACAGTGACACAATTTTTTAAAACTTGTAAACCGGAATATCCAATTTCACAAGGGAATATTTTTACATACCGCCTACGGGAGCAGAGCTGATTGCTAACGGACGCGTCCACAGCTTGCGGATAGTGGGAAGCCCAATATTATTTTTTGGGTAGATGTGAATATAAAATAAATAGTCGCGGACAATCAACGGGTCCTGGGAAAGAGTCTCGGAGAAAATGACCGAGTGCCTCTGATCAAGGCGACCTTGTGCCCAGAACTGAGCCTTGTTAATAACTGGGCGCCTCAACATGTTTTTCAGGCTTAGTTGCCGAGTCCTCAAATCCTCGCAAAATAAATTTTCTGTGGAGTCGAATTTTAATACACCCCCTTCTTCTAAAAATAAATAGTGTTGCGGCCTTGGCAGCTTCAGTCTCGAAATATACATGGCCAGAACTCATTCAACCCCCACTAATGATGTCGATCCACGCTATTCTATCGGACCATTCTTTTGCCTGAAATCCTGCTACACTCGATGACGTAAACGAAAATCTGGTGAGGCATAAGGACCTCCTGCTCAATCTTATAGAGGAAACCAGCTCCTTCCGCATTAGTCGGGAGAGCATCCTGAATCAACCCTGGGACGACTCACACGGGACAGAGACTCGATTACGGATATGGAGTTCTTTCTAATTAAGAGGAACCTTAAATTCATGCGGAAGTTCTGCAGGGACTATCCGAACGATATTGCGAGGGACTTCTTAAATAATAGAATTCCAACATCAGCACCATCCAAGGGACAAATGAGCGCTAAGAAATCCCTGACATCACTGCAACTGAGGGTAAGGGTCTGTCGAAGTCAGGATAAACCAGAGGTGGTGAACACGAAGCAGGTACTCGCGACACCTGAGTCAGCGTTGGCGTTATCCGGGTTGGCGTTATCCGGGTTAATCCAGTTAGTTGATTATTAAAAAATATTTATGTTTTAAAATTAAAGATTCGATATTGAAAAAATTTGTAAATATATTGTTTTAGAACTTAATTTCTTTGTTACTGCTAAGGATAGCACATGTTAACGTAGTTACTTTTGTTGCAAATTTGCAGCCACCTTAAATTTAAACACCCATCCATCGTAATTTATGACGGCTAACATATTAATAATTTGTCCTGATTTACATTAGATAATTTCAATTGCATAATTATTTAGTTTGCTGAGAGATTTGAGATCTATCCTTCCCATCTAACATACCAATTAAAATTGTCGCTATTAAATTTGTCAAATGTAAATCAAAAATGAGATTTTGACACTTTATAGCATAGGATTAAAAACTAATTCTGTAAAGTATTTTCCAACATAAAAAACATTTAACATTAATATTATTTAATAAAAATTTCATACGAAAACTGTTAAGCATTTTATTCAGAGCTTTCATGCTATTTAATAATAAATTACTAATACTATTGCATACTTTTAGACACACCAATTTAATTTTGAACCCATTTGTTGTATATATTTACAGTTCGGTGACTTCATGAACATTAACACCGTTCACTGCTGTTAATCCATTCGATTGATCGTCCAACAATTTCTCAATACAATTCAACGAATAACATAATACAAATTGAGATTTTAAAGTTTTGAACACTTTCAAGAGACGTGGACGTAAATTGAAAAATATTAATTTTTGATTTCTTCTATTGAAATCTTGTATTATTAATTCTATGGCCTTGGCAGTGGTGAAATCGGCAGCATATATAAACGTGCAATCGAATACTACAGGAATGGTGTATTTTTGTCCCGATTTTACAATTTTGTTGCGGACAAATTCGACTGAGGGAAATATAAGGCAACGATCGGGAGTGATTTTTAAAAACTGCTTGCCCGTGGAGGTCTGTAAGGTAAAAGGAAGAGAGGAGGAGAGTGTGAGAGAGGTAATGAAAGTAAAATTTGTAAGTACTTTACCTTAACCAAATCTACATTTATTTCAGGTCTGGCCGATTGATATAGAATGTACAAAATATTGATGGTAATTGCCACAAATACACCAACACTTAAAGGACCCACCAGACATGCCGTAAATGCCAGTAAACCAATGAAGAGATCGGATTCTGAAATAAGTCATCAAAAATAAATTACATTATATGGATCGGAATCTATAACAGGTGAGTTACTTACTTTTACTATGCCACATTGGTT